GCCCGCACCCGCACCCGCGCCCGCACCCGCGCCCGCACCCGCAACACACGCGCGGCCATGCTTTACGGCGGCGGAAAATGAAATCTTTTACCACCTGAGGCAAGCGAGCGCGGCGCACATGTACATGATGCAGGCCCTGCAGCGCGCCATCGCGGCCACCTCGCTGGCCGGCGCAGACCCGCGCCTCGACCCCGAGGCGGCAGAGTTCCCCGCGCCCCCCGCGCCCCCCACCACTGACGACAAACAAACGTTTGTAAATCCCGCAGTAAAAAGATTTTTTGAAAACATAGCGCCGAGCGCCGCCATCGGGCCCCCTCCCGGCTTCGAGCACGTGTGCCGCCGCTTCTGAGGGCACGCGCCCCCGCACTTTGAGCCGCCGCCACTGATAGTTTTAAGATAAAACTAAGTTAAAAGGTATCAGTCCACGTTCCAGTGAGCTCTTGTACAAACTTGCTTTCATAAAGTTCTTTCTTATTATCAGCGACTACGAAATTTTAATTAAAATTTTTGACAATTTATTAATTCTTTTATGATACTTAATTGTTTGAAAACTCTACACAATCGACATATTTTAATGCCAGTGATATGTACATATGTACGTATAGGAATGTAAAGCCGCACTCGCTATCGTCTTGTGGGAATGCAGCGCGTCGGCAACTCTTTACTGTATATCTTCCTCGGTGTCGTTCACGCTCCCAATTGTCCGCAGTTTTTTTGGTATTACAAAAGTTAAACATCTCACTCTTCGGACAAACTTATTTTATCCGTTGAATTTATTACTTAATTTGACATCTCATATTTAATTGAAATTGGCAAATCGTGGTGATGTTAGTTCTACAGCGAATGTTTAGCCGAATTCTCTTCGTGGTTACGGTCACAAAGACACGGCGTCAAGCAACCCTCGGTCCTCTGTCCTCCGTCCTCCGCCCACACCCAGAACTCGCACCTGTTTTTACATTATTTATTTATTTATTTATTTATTTACATGGTAGACTTACAGCTAGAAAGTAACAATAATAGACACAAGATAGTTAACATATAGCTATTTACAAGTCTACACTTATAGCAATAGCTTAAATAATTTGACAGTCAGCATATGAGATATAAATACTTGACTTTTTTTTTAAATATAAATATATATTCAACCACCGCTCAATTTATCTGAAAAAATCCCGGCTTAGACAACTCCTCGCTGAGGACACACTAGTTGCAAACGGGTCGATATCACACTTGTTGCACAGTGTGTTGAAGCTGGAGCTCGCACGCACCACACACGAGTTCTGCCTGTAATTAGTTGACGCGTACGGTACGCTTATGATGGGATTGTACCTACAACATTTGCTAGGTACACTAAAGTTGAATTTACATAGCAATTCCGGACAGTCGATATTATTTTTTAGTATTTTATGAACAAACATGAAGTCGGCAATCTCACGACGATTCATAAGCGGCAATAAATGGAATTTCTTACAAAGGAGGATATAGTATTTAGAGTGATAAGGAAGTCTTTGGTGAAAGCAAAGGAACTTTATAAATCGTTTCTGTATATTTTCTAACCTATCAATATATTTATGATATCGGGGATTCCACACTTGCGACGCATACTCCAGTTGACTTCTAACATATGTACAGTATAGTATTTTAAGAGTCTTAGCTTCAGTGAAGCATTTAGCGAGTCGCATAATAAACCCAAGCGACTTGGAGGCATTTTTGGCAATAGTGTCAATATGCATATTAAAGAATAAATTGTTATCATGATGAACGCCCAGATCTCTGGTGTCTGTGCATCTAGGCAGGTTTTAACCACCCAGCGTATAGGAAGTATTAAGTGCTATACGTTTTCGAGTATAAGTAATTACCGAGCACTTCAAGGGATTAAGATCGAGTTTTTTTGTCGTGCAGTAATTTTCCAGTCGACAGAGATCAGCCTGAAGTGATATCATGTCTTCAAACGATGATATTGTGGCAAATATTTTCATGTCGTCGTCATTATTTTCATTTCGTTAAAAATGTATACATACATTAAGGTTACCGAAAAGCAACTTGCAAGCTAATCAAAGAGCTTCGGTGGCTCAGAGGTCCTAGCACTCGACTTGTAATCTGCTGATCCTGGGTTCGAATCCCGCCATGTACCAATGTGATTTTCGATTTACATATGTACATTTATCCGATGTTCTTACGGTGAAGGAACACATCGTGATGCAACCTGCACATAACTGCGAAGAAATTTAAAGATGTGAAGTCAACCAACACGCACTGGGAGAGCGTAGTTGACTATGGCCTAGTCACTCCTAATTTAGGGTAGGCTCCGAGCCCCTCAGTGGGGACGTATGGTGAGCTAATGATGATGAAGCTGAACTTGTATAAGTACTGTAAGACCAAACTACATTTACTATTACATGATATTCTTGATTCATATTTATAATCTTACTAATATTAATAAAATAAACGAATTTAAAACTTTCGAGGCAAGCAATCAAAGATCCTAGGTTGCCCTAAGGATGGATCACCGCCGCCGTCTCATCATTTCTGTATCTATACGAAAGTTGTTCTGTGATAAGTCGCTTTTAATATACGAGTTCAAACTACAGTTGTTTCTATTCAACAAAATCCTTTGATTATAATTATTCAAGTTTATTTCCTCGTGTGTTCGCTAAAAAGAGGTAACGGATGCAGCGTCAACGTGTACTACAATTATACTTTTTATCTACAAGTACAATTAAGAGCAGATTTATGTCAAAATCGTTTTAACTTTTTGTATAGTTTGTCGACCCAACATCACCGGATTACACAAAAACTTTTGTGAAAGATAATTTTTGACGACTTCATTAATACTTGAAGGAGAGAGTGGAGAGGATTAATATTTTTAGGTATTTTCTGGAATTTCGAAAATATAAAATGGCAATAGCCACAAAGAGTATATAAAATAGCCATGCAGCAGCCGCCAAAGAGTATATAGCATAGAAAGCCGCTATTTTATATACCTACTCTTTGCTTCCATAATGATCAAAATATGACGACAAGCAAAGAGTATATTATTTTGGAACTATAATCTGTGAGTGAGTGCACTCTGTGAAGGAAAATGCTCTGTGGGACAAAATATGATAACAAACATGGCGATGGCGTTCTTATAGAGCGTCGTCGCCCTATTGCTCTGTTTACAATTTTGTATTTCAACTATTAATATCATATGTACCCCGCATACCATGCGGCCTTCTCAAGCAGAAAGAAGTATCAATGACATCGGTCGAGAGAGGTAAAGGAATGTATAGTGCGGTTGATCGTGAAGTGTTGCGGGTCGCGGAGATTGCGTGTAAGGTGTTGGTGTGCGTGTGTCGCAGGAGGGACCGCGGTGGCGGCGCTCGGTAGACTCGGGCGCGGGTGACATGCAAGCGGCGCCGGCGCGCTACGTGTCCTCGAGCGAGCTGTACTCGGCGGACGAAGTGGAGCTGTTGCTGGAAGAGATTCGCGAGCTGGAGCCCGTAAGCTGTCGCGGCGAGGAGGTGCAGGACTTCGAGATCGCCGGCAGCGGGTGTGGCGCGGGCGGGCGCTCTCCGGCAGGCACGGAGCTGACGGAGCGCTCGTGGGACTCGCACGCACACTACTCGCGCGCGCCCCCGCCGACTCCTCGCCCGCTCGCGCCAATTTACTGCCGTCTGCGCCATTTAATTACTGTTCAGGGTGCTTTCACTCTGCTAGTTGTGGTACGCCATTAGCCTGTAAATTCTCCACATTATTACGTATTGTTCAAGTAATGTATGAAAAAAATATTGAATCTAATTAAAAGCACTTGTGATCTACACAAATAAGTTTAAAATCTACCTCGATACAGATCCCCTGACTCTGCAAGACAAACAGCAGAGGCATTGCAATCTGTTTGCCCAATACCAGTTGCCAAGCAAACTGCTTCTATTTAATGTAAAAAATGTAGAAAGTGATAAATATGTTTTGCCAAACTATATAACACATTGAAGACATATTAAACCAATATAAATTAAGTGACAAGTAATTAATTAGATGTTATTAAGTTAAGGTTTATATTTTTGAAGGACACCCTCAAGTGTTCCCTGCAGTGCTAGTGCAAAGGATGGCTCCCAGATGAATAAAGTTTAATTGCTTATTACTTGCCTGTCTCTACTACAACTAATCTCCTAGTTAGTTAATATTAAAACATGTATGTGGTACCGGCAAAGCAAAGCAAAGCAAACAATAGAAACATGTTCATTTTGAAACAATTTCATAATTTATGAATTGCTTTGAAAGTAACAGAGAATTCATTTCCATCAAAGATTCAAGCTCATTCCATCCCCACTATTAGCTTTCACTCAATCTGTAAATAAATAATCAACTCTTAAATCTATGTAAATAAAAAAGTTAATTGACTGTTTCAACCAACCAACTACAAACTTTTTGGCAATACAAAACTATTGGACATAGAAACTAAAAATATTGTTCAAACACAAAGAGTGATAAAAAAACTTTGTTGTCAATTCTATTTATTTATAACAACCGCATAGCATTTTACACTATGACATATTTTATAATACAAAACAGTAAATAATACATGACAAAAGAGTGAATGCTAGGTTAGGAGAGGACCGGTTGATTTTATTAATTATGTTATGTTTATTGAAATAAAAAGACATATAATGGTTTGGATATGTATAAGTAGGATGTGCGCAGGCGTGCTGCGCGAGCGCGTGCGGCTGCGTGTGGGCGGGCGCGGGGCTGCGCGCGGGCCAGCTGCCGGGCGGCGCGCGTGTGCGCCTGCTGCACCTCGCCGCGCTCTCCTCCCTCATGCTGCACGCGCTGCTGCTGCTGCTGCACGTCACGCGTCTCATCGAACTACTGCCACTCGACTGGAACAAACTGGTATGCTTTGTTCAATCATCGCGTTTACTTTGTATAGAAAAATACATTTTTATCTTCTTAAATATGAATCTAAGATCCAATTAGGGAATACAAGTTTGTAATAACATAATATAATTTTCCATTACTGAAAAAGTGTCAAAAAGACGTATTTATTCATAACTTATAATTTTCTTAATTAAATTTTCAACAGTGGTAGAATCAACATATGTGGTATTGCCACGACCACACAGGGGACACGCGTTAAATAGAAGTATGTTATTCTGCTTACAACCTGATGACTGCATACTCTTAAACCAAGATTTACTTCTTCACCTCATCTTTTGCTTTTCCTTGTAAGGAAAACATGGGAAGGGGAAGTGGATTTGGCAAGGGAGGTGAAATAATCTCTTCTATCTGTCCCCTCTTGTATCGGTAAAAGAAAGGCAATCGTAAATAACTATGGGCTGCAGTCATTGTGCTATTTTTGCGATTTCAGTTGGCCGCTTGATCTTTTGCTATCTCATACTATAAAAAATACGAAATTGCGAGCGAGAGTTAGTTTATAAGGATAAACGGAAGCAACTTCCGTTTCCTTCCAATAGACTTGCCGTATGTGAGGGTTACAGAGTAGGCTAAGGTACGGGTGCATCGCAGGGCGGGTGCGCAGGCGCGTGGTCGGCGCTCACGCTGGCGGGCGGCGGCGCGGCCACGCTGCACGCCGCGCTGCAGCCCGCCTACCGGCCCGCGCCGCACCTCGCGCGTCTGCTGCTCGCCGCCGCGGTGAGCGTCCTACACCAACACCAACACCACGACCACGACCACACATAACACAGGCGTGCAGTCTGACTGTGCCTTCCGGAGGCCTAATTTAGTCCTTTTTCCCTTCCCATCCTTTTTCTTACAAGGAAGGGATGGGAAGTGGAAGTGGACTTTCCGGATGTTACGATACATGGAAAGGAAAAATATTTTCTTTCTGTGCATCCTCTCCTCCGTCGATTAAACATAGGCAACGCATATAAAATTGCGTATGCCTATGGGCAACGGTCACTTCGCTATATCAGCGATGTCAGGTGGCGCTCGCTCGTTTGCCACCTTATGATATAAAAAAAATACCAACACCACCGCTCCCGGCGAGATATCTCGCTCCATTCCATTCTCGCTTATCCAGGTTCGAATGGCCGCCTTATTCATTTTAGACATTTATGAAATGAACTGCAAAAATGACTAGTTTTTATGATTGTGGGTAATTTCGTGCGCGTCATATAATGTAAATATATGATATTGCAGGGGCTAGGGCTGGGCGGCGCGTGCCTGGCGGCGGGGCTGACGGTGCGCGCGGTGAGGCGCGCGCGCGCCGGGTGCGCGGGGGGCGCGGCGGGTGCAGGGGGCGCGGGCTCGCGGCGGTCCAGCGGGCGGTCGTCGCCGCGCGCCGCCTACCGCGCCGTGCCGCAGCCGCAGCCGCAGCCGCAGCCCTCCACGTCGCGCGACCACGCCTTATAGCCCACGGAGTTCTAAACGCAACGTCTGCGTCAACCGATTGGTGAAGTGCGCCGGATCTATCCCAGTGTCGGTGTGACGGTGTGTCGGTGTGACGGTGTGACGGTGTGTCGGTTTGACGGTGTGCCGGTGTGACGGTGTGAGTGGTGACGCGCCACCACCAGGGTCCACCTTGGAGCGGAGGCGTGCCGGTCGCAGCGGCTGAATACGACGCAATTCAAAACTATGCAGTTCGATATAACATTATTTACCGTTTATAGCAACGTCGCCGTGTAGTGTAGGAGGCGAGGAGAGGCGAGGCGAGGCGAGAGGCGCGCATTGTATATGCACGTGATGACTCCGAGATTTCTTCCAATAGTAATAGAAGAGAAGCTGTCCGTTTCAATATTACGGAACGGCTGCGTGTGTGCACGTATTTGAGTGCACACATGCGGTAACCGCGTCCTGGGAATCTAGATAACTTTTAATATAGTACGGAATCCGAATTGAAAAGTTTTTCGCCGGTTGTCCTCTTGCAACGGCAGAGGAGTTTGCGCCTCGTTATCTGAGCATACCGCTCACCGTTTGTGTCTACCTGCTGTGTACCTATAGATATAAGCATTAGATAATTTATATTAGCCGCCGGGCCGTCTCCAGCTCCAGCTATCGACGCACAGTGTTATATTATTTGTTCAATTTGTATGTAATCCATTTGTAATAGACAATTTATAAAAGTGTACAAACGGCGAATGTGATGGGACACGGGCAGGTCCAGATCCTTCACAAACTGACCAATGTTTTTATTATCCACAGATGCGCGGCCGTACATTGTCGTCTAACAAAAGTAACGGTGTTCATGTAACTGTGCAACATGCTCTCCGATAACGATAGGATATGATAAATGTTTTTATACATTGTTAGGTGACTTTTGTAATGTTATTTGCTGAACTGTCGATCATTACAATTTTTATCACGAATTCGTATTTCACGCTTATATTTTTTAACACAAGTCTGAGTTCTAGTCCATAAAGTATTTGTAAGCGATTATTTATATTTCCGAGTTCGATTTTGACCTGGGTGATAGAAAAGGCGACCGCAGTGCACTTGAACAGACTCCCAGAGGATGTGTAGTGTAATGTCAAAGCTAAAGTATATATTGTACTTGTGTTGTGTTGTGTAGAGGTCGGTGTCGGTGTCGGTGTCGGCACATTCATGTATATAACTTTATGCGCATGTAAAGTAACTTTTGACGCTTTTAATCACATTATTTGCATCACATAATAATTTATAAAAGTATATTATTAGTAGTAAGAGAAAATCTCTGAATATACCAAATTAGAATTGTACATGTAATGTTGTACGGTGGAGGTGAGGCAGTCGCGCACAGCTCGGAAGCTCGTTTGTCGCGATTCATTGAACTTTGTTTGAACAAATGGCTCGGTGTATGTTCGGCTCGGCTACATATCACCTGAGCGTGCAGAGTGCTGTTCGGTCGCAACACGCCGCGCCCGACGACCTGACCTGCGACACCTTCCATCATCCGGACATTGTAATGTACCATACATTTCAAACAAATTATTTTTACTTTTAAATTTTAACAATAAAACATAATATATGGTTTTTATACAATCAATTGTTGTTTTTGTCCAGTCTCCATTTTAAGTGATAGAACCAAACACGAGGACAGGATCTCTTTGAGGAACTTTCACTTCCAACTTCACTATTTAACAATTAGGTCAATTTTAAAACTGCCATTAAAAACATTTGTGTTATAAAAATTTTTATTTCTTAGCCTTGTAATATTTTCATATTATATAGTACCTCTAACTTGAGCATTGTACAAATTTGACCTTAAATTGTGAGACAAAATGGATGTTGACAGGAAATTTGCTAAGTTCCATATCATATTCTTATCAAAGACATTGAAATGTAGTATAGAGAATAAAGACAGCACTTGGTTACATACCAACATCATTAGAATCAATGAAACTATTTAAATTAATAGCCGATAAATGTCCTAATAATTAATTATACATTACTTAAAATTATTTTAGAAAAGAAAGTTTATTTTTTTTATTAATGGAAAATATCAAGTAATTCTTAACAAAATTCATAAACAATTTATTTGAGACTTACACTGTGAAGTTAAAATTACAGATTTAAATGTTATTTTTCTATTACAATATTTTGTATCATATCACATGATGTAAAAACAGTGTGGCCATTTTCGTTGTTTGAATTTACGCAGAGGACAATTTACCTGCACAAATATACACATGCAATAATTTTTTATGGGAATTTTAATGAGTGATTCATATTGTAGAGTGAATGCGCGTGCGGCAACAGATTAGTCGGCACGGCGCCTGCGGTACTCTGCGGGGCCAGACTTGGCTGTTGCCTGAACAATAACAGCAATTTTCCTAAAATCCAATAAAACATCCATATCATACATATATGAATATAACATTAAAAAAATTTCATTTACAACAAAGGCTAAATTACATGTCAACATGTGCCCCATGGCTTAGAACTACCTTTGCCAAATAATAAGTATATTTACAATTAATTCCTACACCACTACCTGTTTCACATTATCTTATAAAGTTCTGAAATAATGTTCCACCGATTCTAAAACATTTTCTGCCTTGGGCTTTGCTGCCACACCGGCAATTTCTAAACCGAGATTCTCAATCTTGTGCGCAGTTGAGTTGCCAATTGCAAAATGAGGCAGGTGTGCCAGCTTGTTGCTGAAGGTCTGCAGCTGTCTCTGCACATACTCGCAGCCCGACGGGCTGAAGAACACCATGCAGCACACTTCCTCATTCTCATTCACCCTCATCAGATCCAATCTCAAGTTTTCATTTTCCTTCGTCTCATAGACAGTTAAAGCATCAACTATGATCCCTCCAGACTGTAACATAGTAGGTAATAGTTCTGAACTCAGATTTCCACAAGGAAAGAGAAAGTTGGATGGGCTTGAATTCTCCTGCAAAATGAGTTTGGCCAAGTTTTCTGCATTTCCTGTTCTTGACCCCAATGCTTCTAGACCTAGCAAAAGTTTAACTTTGCGCGCACTCGATTCACCAACTGTGTAAATACGTTTTGTGTTCCATGTTACAAATTTAGAAGGAGCCCAGCACTTGGAAACTGATTCTATGGCTCTGGGGCTGGTCAATATGAGACCCTGGTAGTGCAGGTTTTGCAGTTTTTCACTGAGCTCTTGCAAGTTTACATACACAAACTGGAGAGGCTCGATGAATACGGTCTGATAGTTATGTTCTGAGAAAGCCTTAACGTAGTCCTCCGAAACGCTCTTAAATAACAATACTTTCTTCATGGCAACAACTTTGTACTCGATACTAAAAGGAGCAAAGTTATTACAACGTCATTTACTGCGTCATAACAACATCGACCCTGAAAGAACAGGAAGCCGTAAGATGCACAAGGCGAACAAGAGGTAATGAAATTATAAGAAGACAAAAACGACTTGTAGTTATTATGGAATTTTTAAACCCCACTGCTTTCCCTTATGTTATGTTATAGAATTTAATTATTTGTATTATTAAAATATATGTAAACTTTTCTTATTTATGGTTTAAATTAAAACTTTATGATATATTTTATTCTACTTCTAGTCTGTACGAAGTTCTTACGTGAAGTTTGAGTCAAATCGAATGTCATAGGTACCCGGTTATGCCTTAACTTTGACAGTTTTCGTGTTCGGATATTCTATGAGATGTGAACAAAGTATAGTTCGACAAGGAAGGCCTAAGGGATAAAGTCTTATAGCTCACTAGTGCCCTACTGTCACCAGTCAATTCAAAAAATGGCAAGGTTAGGGTCCTTCAAGAAGCGAGCTTATCACCACCTTAAAGGCAACGCATTTGCGGTTCCTCTGGTATTGCTGATGTCCATGGGCGTCGTTGAACACCTCGGCGTTCCCGCTGCTCGTTTGCCCCCATCTGTTATAAAAGATTAATTTCGTACTATAGCGCAGAGT